GAGCTGAAGGAGCGCGCTTAGGGCCGGCGTTCCATGTGTGCTCGTTTTCCACACGTGTGCAAATCTAATGAATCTGGCAGTTTTCCAAACCTCAACATAGAGGAAACACCCATTTGGATTTTTTTATTAGCGGAGAAGTTGAGTAAGATTTTTACAACTTTCTTTAGCCAATCCAAGGGAATGTGTTTGCAAACATGCTTACTTGATGGGATTCAAATGCATCTGCGTTTGAGATCCTTCGACATATTAAATACTTTTGAACAAAAGAGAGAAATAACTAACATTTTTTGCATTTATTAAAGTTTTTAAAAACTATTTGGATGATTTGTGCAAATAGAGGCGGGAATGATTTTAACTTTTATGGATAATGGCAGATTGTGCATCTTTATAAAAGGTTTATGAGGTTGTCACGACGATTGTTTTACACACAAACACACACAAGCAAGAGGGTCTTGCACTGGGAGTCTGATGCAGTTAGAACCAGTGATTTTTGAGTCCAACTGCAAATCTGCGAAGGGTTTTAATGGAAATGTATCTCAGCTCATCTGAAATGGCTGCATTCATGGACGTAATTTTTGGGGGGGACAGGGGGGACATGTCCCCCCCACTTTTTCCAAAGTCAAGTTTTGACCCCTGCACTTTTTACCATCCAAAAACAACATTACGCTATATTAAATTGAAACTGGTTGAGCTCTAGGACCGAGCAGAAAACAACCGTTTGTGTTGAAGCCTGTTTCCCATTAGAGCATACTGTAAAGATACACCCCCCCCCCCCCCCCACACACACACACACACACACACACACACACTTCTAAAGTGAAAATTACGTCCATGGCTGCATTCCATTTAAAGTGGAGACAGAGGAACATCAGGGTTGGTAAGGAGGTAAAAGAGATGAAGAAATAATGATTTTAATTGGAAAGTTTGTGTTTTTGGAGCATCTATGCTCCTGATGTTGCACAACTTAAGAAATGATCACAGGAAGAATGAGGCCAAGCTCAGAATGTTTTCATATCTGGTCAAAAGTATGTAGTTTAACCAGTTATTGCGGTTATTTTGTTTACAAACGTTAAAATGTAATAAAAGTGTCCAAGTACATGTAAGAATCATTGTATTTTTACACATTTTTACCTTTATTTTCTATTCCAACTCCTCCTTTTGGGGCATTTTAACCCTCTCAGGCTCAAAATGAGTTTTGATGAAAGGACTAACAGTCCTTCAGGGGTACTTCTGAGTTAAAAAATGCTCATGAAATACGTACGTGGAGTAACCGGGTAGGTCAATCAATCAATCGGATTTTATTCATGAAGCGCTTTTCAAGCAAAGTGCGATTCAAAGTGCTTTACAGAAAGGTAGGTAGGTTTTAACGGTGCAAATCTGCACCGCCTGCCTCCAGAGGGTTGAGTCAAATTGTAAAAATAGTCATCTTTTGTCAAAATTAAATTTTTATCTGTCACAAATAAAACATGATACTAGTTTTTAAAAATAGTTTGTCCTGATTATGAAACCAGACATGAAGGACGATTTTATGTTGTTTTCCATCACATTTCATTTATTTATTTATGAAGCCCCTTCTGCGACCAATGCAGACACCCAAGGTGCTGAACACAACACAATAAAACATAAAACCATCAGAATAAAATATAATAATCATAAAACCAACATCAAATCAATTAAAAGAGGAGGGTAAAATCAAAATATAAAATCCTGAAAAATATTAAGAGGCCGGGGCATCGAAACCGGGTAAAATTTGCTAATCCTGGAATGCCTCGACAAAAAAATGGGTCTTAAGGCGAGTCTTAAAAACCCCCAATGAGGGTGACTGACGCACCACCAAAGGCAACTGGTTCCAAAGCGCAGGTGCCAACACCGAGAACGCACGGTCCCACCGTGACCTGCACTTAGTGCGTGGAACGATCAACAGCTCCCTGCCAGCTGAGCGAAGGGCCCGCGAGGGGGCATGCCTATGCAAAAGGTTGCCAAGATATGCTGGAGCAGTTCCTTGTAAGGCCTTGTATGTCAGTACCAAGACCTTGAATTTTGCAGCCAGTGAAGGGATGCCAACACAGGGGTGATATGCTCCCTGCGCCTAGTGCCTGTCACGAACCTAGCGGCTGAGTTTTGAACTAACTGAGGGCGTGCTACCGCACCCTGACTAAGGCCGACATACAGTGCATTGCATTAGTCGAGCCTTGAAAGAACAAAAGCATGTGTGACAGTCTCTAAATGTACTCTGGACAGCAGGGGCTTAATTCTGGCTAGTCGGCGTGAGTAAAAAAAAAAAACACGATCGCACAACCTGGTTGATTTGCGCGTCGAATTTAAGGGCTGAGTCCAGTTGCACTCCCAAATTTCGGATGGTGGTCTTCATGTTGGATGCTAAAGGGCCCAGATTCACAGCATCGCACGGGTGTGTAGACATGCCAGGGCTAAGTACAATTACTTCAGTCTTAGCGTCATTCAGATGTAAAAAGTTTGTAGCCATCCAGGAGCGCACGTCCTCTAAGGCATCTACAAGCTTTGATATGGGCCCATCGACCCCCCGCTGAGGGACACCACGCTAATTTTTCATGTTTTTAAATCAGTTTCTTGAGCCAGTGTGTGCTAAAATGACCCTAAAATGACCTTTTACAGGGTTAATTAAAAGTCTCTCAGCCCGCGTCGCCCTCTGTGAGGAGGATACCCCAATTGCAAGTTTGCTGCCCTGAAGTCTCCCAAAAGCCCCGCTTTGTGGCAATCCATGTTTTCACCGCAGGACAGCGAGCCACACCTGGTTAGCGTTCATTGTAACGTGTTTGTCATGGTGGAGCCTCAGAAGAAACACAGAAAACATTGATCTGATGAAGCTAATAGAATAGAAATAACGCCTGACGACAATAGGAGTCAAACTAGAGTCAACATCGGGTATTTTCTGAAACACGAGAGCTCAGAGAAATGAAAACTGCATGTTTTAGATGAAGGACGCAGCTGATTTGTTTGATTTAGAGATGAACTACTCCTGTGGACACTAATGAAGGCTGAGGAGACCTTTCAGCTGTTAGATGAAGGTGCACCGGATCACAGCGAGTAGGAGAGTTTCAGTTTCTGTTTATGACAGTGAATTAAAATGAACACTAGGGGGTGCTAAAAGCAAGCCAAAAATGCTAAGTTTCCCTTTAACACGACCGACACCTTTTCTGTCTGAGTGACGTTGATTCCTCCATGCACATCTGCACTATTCAGGCATGAAAATTAAAACTTGTTGGTATGTTCATGGCTCCCAGTGTCCACGTCTTCGTGTCCCTGGTTTCTCCTCTGGGCTCTCGTGTGGAGTGGGATTATGTAAATCTTTCCTTAGTGAGGACACCAATTGTCAAGAGATAAACAATAAAAGAGGAGAAGTGGAGAAGAGGAGAAGAGGGGGTGAAAGCAGGAGAATGGAGACGAAGCGGCTTTAGGATGCTGGAGGGAAGCGGCGATAAGTGAAGTCAGGCGAGTCAAAGATAAAGAGCTCTCCAGAAGGGCCCGACCGATATATCGGCCGGCCGATATTATCGGCCGATATTGGGGTCAATAACAGTATCGGCTATCGGCCAAAAAGACTGACGATATGGCCGATATTGCACTACCTATCCAGCAGATGGCGCCAGCTTTATGAACTCATGTTGTGTGGCTCCACTCCTTTGAACTTTGAACACAAATTATTGTTTTGGAACTTTTTATTTATTTATTCTTATTTATGTTTCTTATGTGCAATTATTTCCTGTCCAGGGTGAATAAGTTCACCAAGTTAACTTCCACAGAGTGTTACTTTGTTACAAAGCACAAGTATTACGTTTTATTTATTGCTGCATTTTTATTATTTTAATATTCGTGTAGGGATTTTCTGTCCCCAAACGTGTGTGTGTTGTTAGATTCCCCAGAGTTAGCCAAGTCAGAAACAACATTTTGTAACCGGTTGTTTTAGCATAAAGCAATGGAAGGGAAGGCTTGCATTCACCTACATAAAAAAACACTACAGTGTATGTGAATTCACTTACATTGTTTTATGCTAAACTAAGAAAACCAACTGCTGCCAGATCATATTGGGCTGGTTATAAAATATTTTTTCTGACTTGTCTAACTCTGGGGAATCTTAACAAGACACAATTTTACTGAGCGGTGGAATATTCCTTTAAGCTAAAATGTGGAAACCACAGTTTTAGTGAATGTTAGATTGATGCTGTGACTGAGTTTGTGTGTTCTGTTGTTTTTGAGATCTGCTAAATAAATCTCCTTTGCATTACTTGGAAACCCGAGTGAGTTATGGAGACAGTTCTTTGGTGTGTAAGAGAGAAGAATGAAGGGTTTTAAGCTTAAGAAAATTTTTTATTAATTTTTTTTGAGGGAGATTTATCGGCCATTATGTCGGCTATCGGCCTTTGTTAAAAGTTTTATATCGGTATCAGTCTCAAAAAAAGCATATCGGTCGGGCCTTAGCCTCCAGACAACGGGTGGGATGAATCAGGCGGATGTAGACGGGATGCGGGGTGAGATGAAGGTGGATGGATTGTGGTCACTTCCTGTTTGTCAGAATCGTTTTTTTTTTTTTATATTATACAAACTTACTTTTCTTAATGTTGTAATTGTGTTCATTGCTTTCTCTGGTTTGGGTTTGGGACAGAAAATCTGATGTAGCCTCACACCCAGACTCGTGTGAGTCCTTGCTGTTTGGTGAGACACCAGCGCCCCCTGGTGGTGAACAGTAAACTCCACTGGACTGTTTTTTTTTTTTTTTAGCTCATCACTTTGGATCAGAGCTTGCTAAGATGACACTGAAAACCTTTTTTACTGTAAACTAAGACAAGGCTACTGCTATGAATAAGTCCTGTTCTGGTGGTTTGTAACGGTGCTGTCAGCCAATCTAGTGGGACGTGTTAGAGCCGGGGTAGAATTTCAGCTCAGCATTTATCCTATCTCTGTAAAGAGGTCCTCAAATGTTCACGTTGAAATAACGAGTATTAATCTCTCGTCCGTCGCAGGCCCAGAAGAATGAGAGGGAGTCCATCAGGCAGAAGTTGGCCCTGGGCAGTTTCTTTGACGATGGCCCGGGCATCTACACCAGCTGCAGCAAGAGCGGCAAACCCAGCCTGTCCTCACGGTGAGACCTGCGTTACTCAAAACCTCAGTAGGCATGTGATGGGTAACTGGAAAGCACAAGAGTTAGTTTTTGAAGCATCTCTAGCTCTGGTAGATTTAAGAGTGGGAATCTTTTGGTTTTGGCAGCACGAAGATGAACAACTTAATAAATAAGAAATTAATGCCACGGATTTATTGTTGTGTAAAATAAACCAAGTAGAGGAAAAAGGATCAACAAAATGTCAGAAAACGATGTGAAAACGCCTGATGGTTTCAGACCTTTGTGGTTCTCACTTCCTAAAACACACACACACACACACACGCTTAGAGGGAGAGAGAGAGACTACCACCTCTGACACCGAGTCTTACTGGAATCGATTGTTCTGTTTGCGCTCCGGTGCGTGTTTCGTCTGAGTCACGAGTTTCTCGATACTTCTGATTAACTCTCATAAATGACAGCAAACAGATCACTGCTGCTAAAATGTGACACATTCATCAGGCATTTAGGAATTCGAATTTCAGCTAGAAAACACAGAATAACTGAAATTGTCCTCAGAACCAACAACTGACACTCAGGTGCTATTTTAAGTGGGCCGGATTGGATCTTTTTGCCGTGTGATCAATCAGCGCTGTTTGTAATTACTGAGCTGAATAAGCAGATTATTGATCGACGGTAGGATGGATCTGCACCCTACTGATTTTCTGCTCTTCTATGACATTAACACACACACACACACACACACACCCTCTCGGCCCAGATTGTACCAGACCTCCCTGAGACCTCCTGGATCGATCCATGGTGAAGAAAACAGGAGAAATGCCTAAAAACACAAGCACTCTTTACGTTTTACCCCCGAACGGCACTTTGCCCTGCACTTCCTCTTTTTCCTGAACACAAAGCAGCATCCTGCATGTTTTTAGTGCGATTGGGACAGAGCTGTGCTGAACTTAGCTCTTTGTTTCTCGTGCAGCTTGGTGACCTGAGACTCCTTCTGAACTGATTTGATGCTCATCTGCAAATGGGTTCATGCTACCTTTCTGTTCCTCTCCATCTTTGCGTCCCTGCAGGCTGCAGAGCGGCATGAACCTGCAGATCTGTTTCGTCAACGACAGCGGCAGCGACAAGGACAGCGATGCAGATGACAGCAAGACGGAGACTAGCCTGGACACGCCTCTGTCCCCGATGGTGTGCAGCTGCTTACTGAAATCCAAATAAAGTGGTTTTCTTCAGAACTGAATCGTGAGAGGAAGTGATCTGAAGCCAGGTTTCTGGTATTGATTGTGTGAAAAGTAGCAAAGTCTGGAATAAGAGCGAAGTGGTAAAGCAGAGATATCCCCCCTGATTTAGAGACGTAATTGGTCGTGTGTGAAAGTTTTCACTCACGTGTTCTGAAGCTGGGTGTTTGCCAATGATGTCAGCATGAAGTAAATACACATTGAACTACCAAGAATACTGAAAAGTAAACTTCATCTCATCTCCTGTTTCTTCCCAAATCTCTTTTCTGTTCCTCCTCCTTCGGTCGCAGTCCAAGCAGAGCTCCTCCTACTCGGACAGAGACACCACGGAGGACGACTCCGAGTCCCTGGAGGACATGGACTTCTTGAGTCGACAGAAAAAGCTGCAGGCGGAGGCGAAACTGGCCCTGGCGATGGCCAAACCCATGGCTAAGATGCAGGTGGAGGTGGAGAAACAGAACCGCAAAAAGTCTCCAGTGGCCGACCTGGTCAGTGACCAAAATCAGACTAAAATGCTTCATTTTTTTTGTTTTATTTCACTTTTTTAAAGTTCAATTTTAATGATTTACTGATATTTATCTTGTGAAAGTACTACTCAAATAGCCTTTTGTGGCAAAAATCAAATTCTAATCTATTAATAAAAACATTTTCTCCAATGTATTAAAATCCAATTAATTGATCTCGTCAATATTTTCAATATATAATGACAAATTATCAGTTTTCTGTACATAATTATAATTTATTTTTTCAGTCTGATCCGTTTCTTTGCATTTCCATCTGGCGTTAATCATCTTATTTTGATTTTAGCACCCTCTGGTGTCCGTTAGTAAAAGAAAATGTGAAACGTATCTCCTCGCTGTGCGGGTTTAACACCTTAAGCCATCAGCTGAAATGTCTCCTCAGCCTTCATTACTGTCTACAGGAATGATTCATCTCTAAATCAAACACATCAGCTGTGTTCATGATCTAACACATGCAGAAAACAAGCTGGAAGACGACTGTAGCACCAGGCATGTTAGCTCCTCTTTATTGAGTCCAACAGGGACCGGAACGGCACTCTGACGTTGCAAAGGCCACAGAGAGGGGTGGGGGGTCTGAGTGACATTCCATTAACCCTATAAAGGCCTAAAAAAATGAAATATTGCATAGTATGGCTTTAAAGTACAAGTTTAAGCGCTTTGAAGCTCCTTAAATTATTACAAAGTTGTATAATTTAAACGTTTTTCCATCGTATTTTACACCGTGGAGGAAGGAAATCACGTCGTCCATGTCGCCTGGCTCTGCTTTTATTCCCTTATCCTCCAGCCCCATTTAGTGCGAGGAAGGTGACGGCGACCCTGCTCATCATTATTTCATCCGTTTTTATCTGCCCCGCTGCCACGCTCGCCCAGAGACCCCCACACACTTCCCAGCAGTGTCACGCCAGGGCACACGATATTTTCCAGCAGAAACGCTTTACTTATTCAGAGGAGAGGAGGGCGGCTCGAGCAGGTCTATCTATAATTCATACAGCAGAAAGCATCAACTTGGGTGTTTTAGAGATGTAGCTCTGCTCTGCAGTCGGAGGACATCGCTGTCACATTCAGACTGAGCACACGGTGAATGTTAAGCTGTTCTAAGGCTACAGCTGCCTGCTCTGTCAACAGGTCCAGAGATCCGTTAAACCAGTCAGGACAAATCCTCAAAGCATCCTGAGAACGATGATGATAAAGGTTACCGAGACTAAAAGGAGGTAGCACACTGCTGATGTCAATAAGACAGAAGATTGTCTACAAACACTAACAAAAGGAAATTAGGCTCACATAATTAGGCCAGAGAAAGGCTAAATTCATGTTTATTTTATCATAATGATATCGATGCTGTTTATAATTGAATTAGACAGCATAAAGGTTTGATTGTACATTACAATGTGATACATGAGACAACACCCGATACAATAAATGAGATGTCATGTTACGATAAAATGTGACACAAAACAAATCTTTTTATTTATTTATTTATTTATTTCATTTATCCATCTGTGTTTTGTGTTGTGATACTGCATCAATATTTAAAAACAGCGTATTTACACGCCAACATTTACTGTATTCCTTTGGAGTGGTGCAGTTCACACTCTGACCACTAGGTGGCTGCATTTTTATCGCCTTCATTCTGACGAAACATCGAGATCTCGCTATAACGTTGGATGTGTCTTGGAAACGTCTGGCCTGAGTTTTCAATTTAAATTCAGTCTTGTGCTATTATCGTTGGGCTTTCCGTATCACAATATATCGATATATCGTCTCCCCTGTATTGTGATGTATATCGTATCACCAGATTCCCTTATTTGGCTAGTTTGATTTTAAAAACACCTTGGGTTAACTCGGTTTGCTTTCATTAAAGCTGCTTTAGCGACTCCACAGAACAAGCTAGGTTTTGAACGCAAGCATGTTCACGGAACACCCACCCTCCCTTTGGGTATCTTCCCTGAGACACCTGCTAGAACGAGACACCCGCATTTCAGGAGGAAACAAGATAGTGCTTAACACCAGTCCAAACGTCTTTTGTTGTCCGTGACATCAAACGGTGTTTTAATTTGGAGACGTTGGTAGTTTGTCCTAAAGTTGAAGAGGTAGCAGCCGGCTGTTTCTCCTCCTCTGTTATTGAGCAGAGAACCTCTCACACCAGTGGTGTTCTGGTGCTAAATGCACGAGTGCGTAATGATTGGAGGACTCCGGGAAGTGCGGTGGTTCAGCGAGACCAACAACCAGGTGGTCCGATAGTTGCTTTTAGTCCAAAACGTGTTTTGGGACAACTGCAAGATGACTACTTTATTATCTTTTTGTTTATTTTTAATCTTCACAATATTTTTATAGCTATACGATGTTAGAAGGCTGTTAATAGGCAACAAAGAATGTTTTAAGCAAATTCAAATTTACCACTTCAGCTTTAAACTACACCCAGACACGAATACCGTAATTTCTGGACTATAGAGCGCACCTCAATATAAGCCACACCAACAAAAAAAAGGTCAAACACAAGCCGCGGCGCAGCAGCCACATGCAGGTCTCCGGCGCACCGCGCATGTACGGCCATAACATAAGATAATTAGACAGAAAGACGCTATACGGAGGTTTTTCATTGTTGTTTTAATTCAACAAAACGAATTTTAAACCCAGGTGAACGTGCCTGCAAGTTTAGAAAAGAAAACAGCACTGATAGCATTCATATTTCTGGATGGTTATAAAATAAAAACAGCACTGACACGTTATTACCGGTAATTTGCATGTTTAGAAGAAAAGAACAGCGCTGACACAGCATTAATAAGCCCTGGATGATTAGAAAATAAAAACTGCACACAAAACATGCCTGGTTAGTAAATAAAACACACTTGCCTACCAGAAAAAGTCATTCGCTCTCATCTTCCTCTTGCGCACTAAAGCCATTAAAGTCCTCTTCTTCAGTGTCGGAGTTGAACAGCCTCAGAAGAGCTTCGTCACATACCTTTTCTGTGGCGATGTCAGTGTCGCTGTCCGTGTTGCTGTCATCATCCCCGGGTGAAGCTGGCTTGAATGAGTTCTTCCCGCTGCCGTCTCCAGCGCCGAACCATGGATTCATTCATGCCAAGCTTACGTGTGGCAGCACTGTTTCCCTCCTTTACTGCCAGATCGATGGCCTTCAGCTTAAATGTGGCATCATATGAACTCATACATGTAGTTATCATGATGAGGGGGTATGGGTTTGAAAAAGATTCTTCGTCGTGCCGGCTGCTTGCCTGTGCTGAATTAAAATGAGCACTCTTTTCGATTTCCACTTTTGACTTCCACCTGTTTCACTTTCTGCTAAAGCGCCCCCTGCAGGTGAAGGAAAATCTTCAGTAAAGCCGCACCTCATTATAAGCCGCATGGTTCAAAGCGTGGGGAAAAAGTAGCGGCTTATAGTCCGGAAAATACGGTGCTAGTTTATGGGGCAGTTTTTAAATTTTGTGGCGCAAATTCCAACAAATCAGGGACATTTTCTAAAAGAAGAACAAAGACAATTTAACCATAAATAACAACAGTACTAGTAGGTGTTGTGTACGAAGTTTCAGTGACATAACTAGTTTATGTGAGAGAAAATTAATTGGAATTTTTTTTAATCCCCCATAAAAAAGTTTTTTTTGGGAGTGAATGTTCCAGGAGTGTGGGTTTTCCTGCACTCCCCAAAAAAATCCTACGAAATAAATAGTTGAGATGAAGTGAGATGCTTTTCGTAAAGGGTTGTAGAAACTTCACCTCTGTGGCTAAAAGTTTTCGTCCCCGGCTTGGCTGAGAAACTAGTCAAGTTCCTCCCTCTGTTATCAAGTCTTCAAAGGAGAACCGAGTTGTAGCAGAAGGTTATTTTGATTAGTCAACCACAGAAACTAAACCTGGAGTTAAGAGTTGAGTCAACAGAAATGCTGATGAACTGCATTTCCCATCCTTAGACTCTGACATAACACCTCTCCTCTCGTCACCCATGAAACCGAAACTGACGCATAGCCTTGTGCGGACACTTGTGAAAGTGAAAGAGTTTTTGGAAATGCTAGAAAAGGGACCTCCCCTACTCTAAGCTTGTTTATCAGAGGTGAAACTGGGAGGAAGAGAGAAACAAGGTTGTGATATTGTTGACATCAGGAAGACGTGTTTTGTTTGGTTTGGTTTTTGCGTGTGGCGTTGCGCCAAGAGGCAAACTGAAAGCACAAAACAAACATAATCCGAGCTAGAAATAAAGGCTTTTGCTAAACAAAAATTAGAAATACTCTCAAAAATTAAACTGTTAAAGAAATAAAAATGGTAAATATAAGTATATGTATAGCGCCTTCTTGGGGTTCTACAACCCCCCAAGGCGCTTCACAACACAATCACTCATTCACACGCTGGTGGGGATGAGCTACGTTGTAGCCACAGCTGCCCTGGGGCGCACTGACAGAGGCGAGGCTGTCAAACACGGGCGCCACCGGTCCCTCCGATCACCACCAGCAGGCAAGGCGGGTTAAGTGCCTTGCCCAAGGACACAACAGCAGCATTCTCTGGTCGGAAATGGGATCAAACCTGCAACCTTCTGATTACTGGACAACCCGCTCCACCTCCTGAGCTACTGCTGCCCAAAGTGAAGATTATACCAACGGCCGTTTCTCAATATGCGTACTTGTCTGTACTCGTGTACTTGTGAGACGTCAGTAACCATGGCCCAAGAACTGTTCCAAGTATGTATCGTGGCAAGTTCACTCAAAATTCCCAGATGTGTTTTTGCTCCGCCCATTCCATCGAGGATGCATCAATGCATCATTCTGCGAACTTGGGACAGCAAAGTGTCCCACAATGCATTGTGTCACAAACCGAACGGCAGGCTCATAACTGTAGTATTTAATATAGTCGTCTGTTATTGTAAATAATAGTAACCTGTAAATTTTGCTGTTTGTTTGTTTCCAGATTCTTGACGATTTGTCAAAATGCTAATTAGCTAACCCGCTATCCAAATAAACGCAGTGTTGCCTAAAACAGCGTTTTTCTCTGTATTGATGGGAAAAGAAAAAAAATGTTTTTCTTCATTTAACAGCGGGAAATGTTGGTATTTGATCCGTTTTGATTATACAAATAATATGTAATCATTATTTAGGGACAAATCGTTGCCATCACGCAACGAAGTATGGTTCTGTTCCAAATGCCGTCATCGTCTTCCCATACTCGGTAGAATGGATCTTCTGGTGTATCAGCCAAGTACATACTTGTGAAGTACACAAGAACGTACTAGTGAGAAGCGGCCGCGGTCATCGGTAGCTTTAGGATGATTCTAAGGACCCATTACTGACAGGGGCCCCAAAAATTCTTTCGTTTTTGTTGATTTTTTTATTACTTATTTTTAATGTGGCTTTTGCATTTGGTTGAACCTTCTGGGCCACCATACAAAAAAGACAAAAAATTATATTTTAATATGTGTTAACATTTTATATGAATTATTTTATTTTACTTACCCCGAAATTCACTTCAGTTTATTACTACAGCTCCAAATCACTAGTCATCTCAAGACATTTTACAAAGTTAACGCTCCAATTGAACCTCTTTATCACTGCTTTGAGTTCAGCTCATTATTCCAACTAGTTAAACGTTTCCTACATAAGGAACCCAGCAGGTTGCATCGAGTCACTGACTAGTGTCGGAGACTTTACAGCAGCCCTCACACTAAGTGAGCATGCAGCAACAGTGGAGAGGAAAACTCCCTTTTAACAGGAAGAAACCTCCAACAGAACCTGGATCAGCATGAGCAGCCATTCTCCACGACTCACTGGAGGTTTGAGAAGACAAAGCAGACGCTCACACACACACACACACACGCACACATTCAGATAATTATCTTTAGACAACCATCAACAACTGTATACCTTTCTAAGTCAACATAATTCAGCATGGCCTAGACCCGCTGCTCCTCCACATCAAGAGGAGCCAGTTGAGGTGGCTCGGGCATCTGGTTAGGATGCCTCCTGGGCACCTCCCTGGTGAGGTTTTCCGGGCACGTCCAACTGGGAGGAGACCCATGGGAAGACCCAGGACACGCTGGAGGGACTATGTCCTTCAGCTGGCCAGGGAACACCTTGGGATTCCCCCAGAAGAGCTGGCCCAAGTGTCTGAGTAGCAGGAAGTCTGGGCCTCTCTGCTTAGGCTGCTGACCCCGCGACCTGACTCCGGATAAGTGGCTGGAAATGGATGGCTGGATGGATGGATGGATGGATGGATGGATGGATGGATGGAAATACAAAAAAGTTGGCTAAAAATCAGTCAATCAAAGCCGTTTCATTCTTATTTCACAAAAACGAGAGTGATTCATAACATACACTACAAACAATACAGGCTAAAGCATGTGTGCATACAATTATTGAGTCTGACGCTTTAAAGTGACAACAAATTTAAAAGCCCAGTATTCATTGCAGGAATGCGTTTGACCCGCTAACTTTAAAGAATAATATTCAGGGTAGCACAGGTTAGTGTGTGTTTTTATCGTAAAGTGTGCCACTGTAGAACGCACAAAAACTAAGTTGTGTTTATTGTCTCTCTCTCTCCTCCCCCCTCCCTCCCTCCCCAGCTTCCACACATGCCTCACATCAGCGAGTGTCTAATGAAGAGGAGTCTGAAACCCACCGACCTGAGAGATATGACTCTGGGGCAGCTTCAGGTTATAGTAAATGACCTGCACTCCCAGATTGAAAGTGAGTTGACCGCGTGCGCACACACACACACACACACACACACACACACACACACACACACACACACACACACACACACACAGAATGTGACAGTACTTTTAAATGCATTAGTCACATCAGAGCTGGTACCAGTCAGCAGCTTCCCCCCTGGGTGTTTACTGTCACCACTTTGTACACATGGATGAATAATCTCTCATCTTACATTTAGCAGCTTCAGAAATCCCCTTAACTCCTAAATCATGAGCGAGTTTTCACCTAAAAAATTTGTCATTCCCCTCAAACACGCCTTCAACCCAGGATTTGTGTTCTTCTGGTAAGGCTGAGGCAACAAATGCTTCCGCTTGTGATGGGACGTCTGACTTGTTTCTGCCGTTTCTTGCGTCGGAGGTCGTTTCACGAGGGAGATTTCAACAGAATGGATCCCCGCTGAAAGTTTTGACGAAAGTGGTTTTTGTGGTTCCTGTACAATAAACTTGTTGAAATAGCTGCCATGTCTCATCTTAATACCCCTTCCCGTTGTCACTCCAGGTCTGAACGAGGAACTGGTGCAGCTGCTGCTGATTCGTGATGAACTCCACATGGAGCAAGACGCCATGCTGGTTGACATAGAAGACCTCACCAGGTGATTAAAATGTTGAAAGGGGACTTTTTTTCTTAAAGATGAGCAAGTCAAATATAAAACGGGAGGGTTATTTTTCTCTTTTCTACATCACTGTCAGTTTCACAACGCTCAAGGAAGACCTGTTCATTCAACGCCTCATCATTTCTAGAAAACAACAGAAAAAGCAAAAGCACCGTTGGTTATCAGGAAGGCAACACATGTTGTATTCCCAACTTTTATCACATATGAAGACGTTCTCTTATAAGTTTCTAACATTTGTAAAACAAAATTTGAGGAATTCTGCCAAGTATTCACAAGCTGGCAGGGACTGGTGGTCAGGGCAGGTCCCATATTAATAATGTTACCCATTATGTTGCTGCCCAGCATTAATGTGTTTCACACACTCAAGTGATTATGTCTGATCTTGTCTTGTCTTGATCTGGTCAGTGCCGCTGTAAAATCGTGTTTTTTCCAACTCCGCATCCGTCCAAATTAAGAACCGTTTTATCCAGAAAAAAATTTGGAATCAGTTGTTCATGCCTTCATCACATTCAGGCTCGACTACTCGAATGCAGTTTTGCTGGGTGTCAATAAGTCAACCCTCGCCCGACTTCAACTCGTTCAAAACGCAGCTGCTAGATTCCTAACGCGTACCGACAGGCGCCAGCATACAACACCAGTTCTCAAATCCCTTCATTGGTCACCCGTCACTTTCAGGGTCCAATATAAAATGCTACTTTTTGTTTTCAAATCCCTCCATGGTCTTGCCCCTGTGTACTTACCTGATCTTCTTTCAATTTATACTCCCGGTCGCACACTCAGGTCCTCCAGCCTGTTGCTCCTCGAGGTCCCGAAAGCGTGTTACAAATCACGCGGACCAAGAGCTTTCTCTGTCGCCGGTCCTAAACTGTGGAACGAACTTCCAGTCACAGTTGGACTGGCATCCACCTTGGCAGATTTTAAGTCTAGACTAAAGACACTATTTTACCCTTGCTTTTAATAGTTAGCTGTTAGTTTGGTTTTTACTACTCTTATCATCCATTGTAAGGTTTTTATTGGTACTTTTTTATCGGCTTGTCTTTTTTTATTGTTGGCTGTACTTTATAGTACTGTTTTATGTTTTTTCTCTCTATTATTGTGCGACTGTTCAGCACTTTGGTCAGCCGTATGGCTGTGTTTTTAAAGTGCTATATAAATAAAGGTGGTTTGGTATGGTATGGAAATCTAGCTTGTCCAGTGTGTGTCCTTTATCAAACCTTCTGCAGCCCCTGTAAAAATTGGCTTTGACATTTTAGCTTTTTTGCTACATATTTTTTATCAAATCTAAATATATAAGGTTACGTCTAAATAAAGAGAAACTGTTCTGGTTTCAAACAACATATTTAGTTGAAATTCAAGCTTGGCTAATGCAAAACGGGGAAGAGATGAATTGTTATAGTTGGTCATCGTTGCTTGAACACATATAGTGTTCCTGTCCAGGTTCTCTGTCATTTAGATTTAACTTTAGGTATTTAGATTTGATTTTAAATATTCAAATGTAACTTTTTATATTTTTATATTGGTTTCTAAAGGAGCTTGAAGTGTTCAAGTGCTTTGAGATTTATTACTAAACAGGTTCATTTTTATATATTTAGATTTAAATCTAAATATTTAGTCTTACATTTATGGGTGATTTGTTGCTCGACAGACAGACAGACAGACAGGCAGGCAGGCGGGCGGGCGGGCGGGCGAGCGGGCGGGCGGGCGGACGGACGGACGGACGGACGGACAGATAGATAGATAGATAGATAGATAGATAGATAGATAGATAGATAGATAGATAGATAGATAGATAGATAGATAGATAGATAGATAGATAGATAGATAGATAGATTTTGTTATAGTCTTGTGTAATTTAAATACATTTAGAAAATATTCTTAATATCTAGATTTTTCTCATTTTTATTAATTAATTTCAAATTTTACTTTCAATCCTAGGCTTTCTACTAGTTGTTAAGGTTTAACTTTATATATTAAATTTTTTATTTTAAATCTTTATGTTTGAATTAATTTATTTAAATTTGATTCAGAATAGTTTAACATTGTTGTTTGATGCTTAATGTGACAAAATATGTACCAGGTACTTCAAGGTATTGCTTTTCATTTGGCGCCCCATACACAAACAGCAGAGCGTCAGAAGCAGAGGCCTTGCATCTTATTGTCATTGAGCTCATCTTTCATCCTATAAATAACGTTTGAGGGGATTTTGCTACCTGGGAGGAGACACCGGTGCGGTCACCTGTGTTTATTTGAATAATTTTAAACAACAAGGATCTTGTTGTTTCATTTTTGTTTGTTTTTTCATTTAAATAAAATGCCACATAATTGTTTTTGCTTCTCTTTTTCAGGCATGCTGAAAGCCAGCAGAAACATTTGGCTGAGAAGACCCTTTCCAAATAAGAAGCCCGTCGCTGCTCCTCCCTTTCCCTTTCCCTCTCTGCTCCCAAAACGAGTTTTTCCCTCTGACCATTTTACCTGTGTCGATCCAAGAACCCTTCTGCTTGTCCTGAGTACTTTGCTCCCTGCTGCATCCCTTTTTCCTGCTTCTTACCCTCCCGTCCGCTCACAGACTTCACCGGTAGCAACAGCGCAGGAGAAAGACACTTGAGCTTCTCCCAGTGCTGAGGATGGAGTAGCACTTCCTGCTTCCTGGGAGAAGAGGAAACTGATTGTGTGTTGCCATAGACTCTGTCCCCAGCTTCCTGTGCAGTAATCAGCCTTGCTTTGCTACTCTTTGTTTTTAACTTTCTACATTTGCCACTGAATTATAACTGTTCAAACACAAAAATAAATGATAATTAAAAAAAAGGTGGGAAAAATATTAAATAATAGCTAAAAATGTAGAAAGTCAGTCATGGGGGGAAACAAAAGAAACAACACTGTATGAAAAAAAGCTATTTAACGCGTAACTTCTTCAGATCATTTTAAGTCGGACGATAAAGTACCGAAGCGTTTTTATTCTGCACAAATGGTAGTTTTCAACTGAGACGTGTTTTATTTGAAGGTGCTAAAAGAGAGACATGCCTGCCTTGTAGTGGACTTGTAGAGTTTGGTAACGCATTCACTCTTCAACATTTTGTGAATGTTGATTTTATTTTTTTTATTTTTTTTTTGGACACGAGTCATTTTAAATGAATAAGTGTGTTAATATCATTTTCATCCTATTGGATTCAGATATTTTATTTGAGGGGAGAAATGTTTATGTACAGAAATGTAAAATAAAGAATAAACTTTGTTTCATATTTGTTGGTTTGTTGCCGAGTTTCTGTCATCTGGATCGGTCAAGATATTTGTTCTATGAGCAGCCTCAGTTTGGTGAAACAGAGATCCGTTCTGACCAGATGGAGAGGCAGTTTGAGTGGGACCAATCACAAAGTGTTTTCTTAAACATTCATTTTTTTTAAATCAGATTAAATGAACAGGATGTGCAGATGTTGCCAGAGTTGGGATGTTTGCAGTCGTAACAAATTATTTTTAAGATGTTTCGGCCTAGCAGGCCTTAGATTATAATCCAGGAGGACAAGATGGACTCGGAGAGCTCAGTAGGATTTAGATCTTTCACTTGGTGTGGAACTCTGAAAAACAATTTTTAATGATTGTTTCTGAGTATAATCAGTCACTCTGACTTTTCCATGCAGGCTGAACATGAAAATAGTCTCCTACATTTATCTCCTGCTTTAATAATCTAATAGAAAAAAGATTTGAAAAGTATGACCACTCTATGTCAAGCAGTCGCTTGGTCTCACCCATCGGGGAAGGCTGTTGTTGGTTTAGCGTCCAGGAAACGGCATAAAACGTTTCGGCTAGCAGAAGCTAACTATTAGAATTAGCAACTCCGCCACACAGCAAAAGCTCCTTCAGGCTTATGTTATTTTTGGAGATAAAACATCCCCGTAGAGTCGCGTTGCTGTTATCCAATCCGAAGCAGGATGTCCAAATACCAGGAAATAAGACTCAGCAGATTTGTCCATGCTGATCCAGACGCTTCTGGGCTTCTTTTTTTTGCCACAATACGACGTGCAAGTCATACAATCCCACCAGAGACCACTGCTAATGTATTGATTAAACAAGTGCTCTACACCTTTAAAAATTGCAGACACATGTTGGAGGAATAGTTCCGGGTGTTGTCTAGTCATGGTCCTCAAGGGCCACCATCCTTTAGGTCAGGGGTCACCAATCTTTGTGAAGTTCAAGGCTAATTCACGGGTACTGAGCCAAATAAAGGGCTACCAGACACAATACTGACCTGTGAGGTAGAATAAAATGGTAACTGACCTGTATTTATATAGCACCTTCTAGAGCAGGGGTCACCAACCTGGTGCTCGTGAGCACGGTGGTACCCTCAGGAACCATAACAGGTTCCCACAGGCTTTTTCTCCAAATAGCCTTGGAGACAAATGCTTATAAGATAAAAAATATATATCTACTGCCCTCTTTTTTTATTAACAAATGTATTAATGTAGATTTAAAGACTACAATTTTCTATAAAAACATTAAAATATGTTTTCTATACATGAAGTTTAGTTTAACTCAAAACCATATCTATAATAAACATATGTTAATCCTTTTTCTAACAATGTTGACATTTTCAAATCTTTATCGATGCAAGTGTGATTTAAAAAGTATGCAAAAGTCCATTTATGTCAAAAATTCTACTTGGACTGAGAGACCATCTAAAGGCTCAGGAACTATTTGAAAGTGTTTTGGGTTCATTAGCTGATTAGAGTGTGACACTGAGTTTAGAACATTGAACCTTTTTACCTTATGAGCCTTTGAGTGTGGGGTATAAGCCGTAAGCCACAATCATCACAATTATAACAGATAAAGGCTTGAAATATCTGGTGTTAAATGAGAGAATCTCATGTATTAGTTTCACCTTTTAAGTTGAATTACTGACATAAAGTAACTTCTGCACCAATTTCTAATTTTTCAAGGTTCACTTGTAACTTTCTTTCCACTTTGTACCAACTTGCTAATTTTCCACCGCCGCGATTGCCCCGCTTGAACAGGTGCGAGCTTCCACTTTAAGCTCGCTTTCAAAGATTTAAGTCAGTTTCCTCTTTCTAATGAAGGAAGTGTGATCACTAGTCACAACTGCTGTCAGAGTCTAAACCATTGCTTCCTGCAGTGACTCAGCTGTGCTAATCTCGTCCATTTTTTTGTTTTCATTTTACTGAATCATTTTTTATCCAGACGAGTCGGTTGAGAGCTCATTCTCGTTCACAACGACGATCTAGAGGCAGCAGCAACAGACACATAGTTATCGTTACATCAAAGAAAAACAGAAAATATAAAAACATGCAAGATAAAAAATAAGATAAAACTGTTAGACATAAAGACGAAGGACTGTTCTCATGTATAATATGTACAAGCAATCAGAACCAACTTAAAACAATCTTTAAGTAATCAGAGACAGGCACATTGATCAGAAACTATTGATTGTAATGAATAATTGAAGGTAGATAATGGAATAGGTTGTGAGCTTCAGTGGTTTTTGCAGCTCATTCCAGTCGTTGGAAGCAGCAAACTGGAATGAGGAGTGGCCAGAAGAGGTGCAAGCTTTGGGGATAACCAGAGGGATTAAGTGAGTAATGAGATAATGATGTAACAGAATGAAATGACTGTTTTCCCCTCTCCTCTGACACAGGACTAGTCTGCATGAGATATGGTCTCAAGGTCTCATGCATAACCTGCTTATTTTCAGCTCAACGGAAGAATGAAGATTGAACTCTTTTCTTTTAATTAATCAAAGAACTCTATTTTAATAAAGCTAATAAAACCAAGTGTTAGTCAATAAATAAGATGTGACCAATCTGTGAAATCAAAATATTAATTACTTTATTGTAATCCTATAGAATATAAAGGTACTATGACTTTAAATGTTCCAACAGGACTGATCTCACGTAGCGTTAAGACATGACACATTACTTTCACTGATCCAATCAGAATCTGACGGATCTGACGGAGGCGTGGTTTTGATGGTGTTTGGTGAATCTGTCAACTTTTCATTCGACCATAAACCAAAACATCCGAAGTATAAAACCATGCCCACGTCGTCTTTAACGCCAGTTCAAAGCGTTCTAGAGAAGTTGTCGGAGTGGCCAATCCGTAACTTTCCTCTTCAGCCAAAAGAACCAACGACAAGCTGGATAAAATCTGTTGCTGTTCCAACTGCTGCAACGGTTCCTTTCAGAATAAAAGCTGAACCATCAAGACCCAGGTTTGGGTCTCGCTAGATGCCAACAAACTGTCGTGACCCGGAAGTATCTCAAGACGGGTGGTGGGCTGCCGTGGCTGCTTCTACAGGCTCCTGCTCCTTAAAGGTCAAGCTGGACCTTTACACCTCCTGATCTAGACGGAGACTTCCGCTCAGGGTACGTAGACTGACAAATGGCGTTGAATGTGTTTATGAATCTCCTAACCAAAGCTTAGCGCGAAGACATCACCTTCAGGTCCCATCAGAACTTATCGCTTCTTCGGATTTGCCGGTTCTGAGCAACATTCCACCTCACCCCATTCACCCTCTCATCCACCTTAGCTACACCATACATTTAGTGTTTAAAATTAGTCTAGTTTAATTTGTTTTTAATAAATTTTTAAACTTTTAAACCTGACTCTCTCTCTTCTGTTGTCTCTGAGTGAATACGAAGCTGTTATCTAGTCCCTGAATTAAAAACTTCCAATCTTCTGGTTTAAAATAACCTCACAGATCCATAAGGTGGATTTCATATTTTCTATGGAATCCTGCATGATATGGCTTATTAAATAACACGTAATCTAATTCATTACAATGAGATATGACGGGGATCTACTGATTGTTTTGAATATGAACTGATACCAGTGTAACAAGCTGCGGGAATGGAGTGATGGCCAGTTGACAAGTGAGTACAGATCACAATGATGAATAGTGAAAGGGGCACCAGTGACGTAACGGATTGCTGAGCGATAAATGACATCAAGTTTATGAAGACGTTTTCCGGAAGCAGTCCTGTACCGTAATTTCCGGACTATAGAGCACACCTCAATATAAGCCGCACCAACAAAAAACAGGTTTTCTACACACACACCGCACTCAGATACAAGCCGAGGCGCAGCAGCCACATGCGGGTCTCCGGCGCACAGCGCATGTACGGCCATAACATAAGATAATTAGACAGAAAGACGCTACACAGAGGTTTTTCGTTGTTTTTTTAATTCAACAAAACGAATTTTAAACCCAGGTGAACGTGCCTGCAAGTTTAGAAAAGAAAACAGCACTGATAGCATTCATATTTCTGGATGGTTATAAAATAAAAACAGAACTGACACGTTATTACCGGTAAGTTGCATGTTTAGACGAAAAGAACAGCGCTGACACAGCATTAATAAGCCCTGGATGATTAGAAAATAAAAACTGCACACAAAACATGCCTGGTTAGTAAATAAAACACACTTGCCTACCAGAAAAAGTCATTCGCTCTCATCTTCCTCTTGCGCACTAAAGCCATTAAAGTCCTCTTCTTCAGTGTCGGAGTTGAACAGCCTCAGAAGAGCTTCGTCACATACCTTTTCTGTGGCGATGTCAGTGTCGCTGTCCGTGTTGCTGTCATCATCCCCGGGTGAAGCTGGCTTGAATGAGTTCTTCCTGCTGCCGTCTCCAGCGCCGAACCATGGATTCATTCATGCCAACCTCACGTGTGGCAGCACTGTTTCCCTCCTTTACTGCCAGATCGATGGCCTTCAACTTAAATGCAGCATCATATGAACTCATACGTGTAGTTACCATGATGAGGGGGTATGGGTTTGAAAAAGATTCTCCGTCGTGCCGGCTGCTTGCATGTGTTAAATTAAAATGAGCACTTTCTTCGATTTCCACTTTTGACTTCCACCTGTTTCACTTTCTGCTAAAGCGCCCCCTGCAGGTGAAGGAAAATCTTCAGTAAAGCCGCATGGTTCAAAGCGTGGGAAAAAAGTAGCGGCTTACAGAATGAGTAAATGATGACCTGTTGCTGTAGAACCCCAATTCTTGACTTGACTATAAAGTAATGAATTATTGTGAATGTCAAATGAAAGTGTGCTGCCTAGTTAGATACCCAGATACTTATATGAACTGACAAGTAGTCGTTCTGTACCATCCAGGGAAACAGTCCTAGGGTGGAAAGTTGATTGCGGTAAGTTACGGTTGAAGGTCATGAACTTTGTTTGACTTGTGTTTAAATGAAGATGAAGGTTGGAGAAGGCATGTTGAAGACAAAGTTGTGCT